TCCGCGTCGCCCCGGAGGCTTCCCGGGGCCCCAGGCAGCCCGCGCCTCCCTCCGCCCGAGCCCCGCCGGCCTCTCGCCCCGCCGCGGCCGTGCGCGCAGGCGGTGGGCAGCCGTGGCACGCAGCATGCAGGCGCGCTACTCCGTGTCGGATCCCAACGCCCTGGGAGTGGTGCCCTACCTGAGCGAGCAGAGCTACTACCGGGCGGCGGGCAGTTACGGCGGCATGGCCGGCCCCATGGGCGTCTACTCCGGCCACCCGGAGCAGTACGGCGCCGGCATGGGCCGCTCCTATGCGCCCTACCACCACCACCAGCCCGCGGCGCCCAAGGACCTGGTGAAGCCGCCCTACAGCTACATCGCGCTCATCACCATGGCGATCCAGAACGCGCCCGAGAAGAAGATCACCTTGAACGGCATCTACCAGTTCATCATGGACCGCTTCCCCTTCTACCGCGAGAACAAGCAGGGCTGGCAGAACAGCATCCGCCACAACCTCTCGCTCAACGAGTGCTTCGTGAAGGTTCCGCGCGACGACAAGAAGCCGGGCAAGGGCAGCTACTGGACGCTCGACCCGGACTCCTACAACATGTTCGAGAACGGCAGCTTCCTAAGGCGCCGCCGGCGCTTCAAGAAGAAGGACGTGTCCAGGGACAAGGAGGAGCGCGCCCACCTCGCGGAGCCGCCCGCGGCCAAGGGCGCCTCGACGGGGCCCCCGCTGCCGGACGCCCCCCAGGAGGCGGAGAAGAAGGTGGTGATCAAGAGCGAGGCGGCGTCGCCCGCGCTGCCGGTCATCACCAAGGTGGAGACGCTGAGCCCCGACGGCGCGCTGCACGCCAGTCCTCGCAGCGGGGCCTCCACGCCGGGCTCCCCCGACGGCTCGCTGCCCGAGCACCAGGCCGCGCCGCCCAACGGGCTGCCCGGCTTCAGCGTGGAGAACATCATGACCCTGCGGACGTCGCCTCCGGGTGGCGAACTGAGCCCGGTGTCCGGCCGCGGGGGGCTGGTGGTACCGCCGCTGCCGCTGCCTTACGGGGCCGCGCCGCCAGCCGCGTACGCGCAACCGTGCGCGCAGGGCCTGGAGCCGGGCGGCCCCGGCGGCTACCAGTGCAGCATGCGCGCCATGAGCCTGTACACCGGGGCCGAGCGGCCGGCGCACGTGTGCGTCCCGCCCGCGCTGGACGACGCCCTGTCGGACCACCCCAGCGGCCCCGCGTCGCCGCTCAGCGCCCTCAACCTCGCGGCCGGTCAGGAGGGCGCGCTGGCCACCGCCCACCACCACCAGCATCCCGGCCACCACCATCCTCAGGCGCCGCCGCCCGCGCCCGCTCCGCAGCCGCAGCCCGGCACAGCCCCAGCCCAGGCCGCCTCCTGGTACCTGAACCACAGCGGGGACCTGAGCCACCTCCCCGGCCACACGTTCGCGGCCCAGCAGCAAACTTTCCCCAACATGCGGGAGATGTTCAACTCCCACCGGCTGGGGATTGAAAACTCGACCCTCGGGGAGTCCCAGGCGGGCAATGCCAGCTGTCAGCTGCCCTACCGAGCCACGCCGTCCCTCTACCGCCACGCGGCCCCCTACTCCTACGACTGCACGAAATACTGACTGCGCCCCAGCCCTCCCCGGCCCCGGGCCCGCGCCCGCTTCGCCTCCCGATGCAACCCTTTCCACGAAGGCTGCACCCGAACGCGCCCAACTCTCCCAGACCCGGGAGCAGAGAGCTCGCGCGCCAGCCTCGGCCGTCCGTGAAACTTGCAGGTAACTTGAACCCGCAACCCGGTTTCTGAGACCCTAGACGTCCCTCTCAGGGGGCCGCAAGCCCAGCAAAATGAAATACCGATTTAAAAAGTACCCTCCCCTTCCCGGATGCTGCGCCTGATCCCTCTGGGGCTTCAAAAGATTAAGTTATGGACCAAATTCCAAGGGACCCCCGATGGCTCTCCGTGGAGACTCCCCACGGACGTGTGGGGGCCCCTGCAGATAATGTATGTGCTGTGTGTAATTTTTAACTTCCTCTAACCGTGCTGTAATCGTGTGCGGATTTGTAATCAGGCTATTTTGTTGCTCAGAGCCATTAATATAATATTTAAAGTTGTGTTCACTGGATAACTTTCCATCTTGCCCAACCGTTTCTTCCAAATTAAGTTCAAGGAAACTACGGTGGGTTTTCCCCCCTGGACCGTTATAAAATAGAATTATTTCCCCAACTGTAGCTCTTTCACTGAACAAGAAAATAATTTATTTTTTTGTGGTGAAGAACGAGGTTCAGTATCTGATACTTTTGATTTAGGAAGTGTGATGGTTTTGTATAGCGAATTCCATCCTGAGGGTGCCCAAAAGAAACAGAGACTTAAAAATTTAACTTCATCTGTGTCTGTTTTATGTGGTCTTGATTGTTGTATTTACCCTAAAATAAACCCATGTTGTTTTTCTGCCCAAAGTTCGGACAGTGTGTTTGTGTTCTGGAATTTTCTGAGGGCAAGGTGTTGCAAACCCACCTGTTGTGGTTATTTTTGTGGTGCAGGTGGCTCTGTGGATGGATGCACATAGGTGTCATGTGGGGCTCACTCTTGTCTCCTTTAGTGATAGAAAGTACTCCTGATGTATTAAATTATCCCACCCTTGGATATGTTTTTTCTCAGCAATCTGAGAAAACACCCCATACATCGACAGGGCTGCCTGCAGGGCCGTAAGCTGGTCTCTTAAAGAACTGTGTTTGGTGAGGTACAGAAAAACACAGCCAATTGTCAAAACAAAAAAGTGCCACTCCACCTCAGCATCCAGAGGTGGAGGAGAGAAGGGACCAAGGGTCCTCGCTTGCCACGCCCGAGCCCAAGCCCGCTTCGGTTCTCCTTCCTAAAATGCGGGCTTCTTGCCCACGATCGTGCGATTCTGGAGTGAGAATTCAAGCCGCAGCAGCCAGGAGCTGCAACAGATCGGATTCGTTTCTGCTCTGATTGTTAATGTATGTCTTTGGGGTGGAGAGGAAAAGTGAATTTCAACCCAAATTTTCTTCTTGATATGAGTTTTAAACCTTTCACCCCATTGCAGTGAAGAACCGTGAAACCTCATCTCTCCTCAGGCAGGATCCTTTTAGTATCTGGTTTTCATCTCCCTAAATAACAGAAATATTTTTTCTTTCTGATTTTGATTAATCATTAATTTTAATTATTTTTTTTGATAGCGACAAGTTTTATGGAATGTCCTCCCTGGGGGCGGGGTGGTGGACCTTTCTTACCTGCTTTTCTGGCTGAAAGGTCCAATTCCACTGCAGGCCTGTGCACCATCACCACTACCTACCCCGCGTGAACTGCACTTGGTCACCAGGGTTCGTGCACTGAACAGACCAGTGCAAGTCTGTGGAAGGTGACACCACTCTGTGCAGTGGCGGCCATTGTAACACGGGTATTGCGTTGTTAAAATGGCAATCTTTTTTATCTATGCTATTTTTAAAGAGAATTGGGGGAGTTCGGATCTGGATAATTCTCCCCATATGCTCGAAACAGTCTTTCAGCCTGTGACCCACATTTCATTCTTTTTCATAAAGTGGGGGAATGAGAGGACTTGATTTTGGGGAATCCCAGGCCAGGTATGTTTGGGCTCCTGAGTCAGAGGAGGTAGCTTGGGAAGGGGCTAGTGACCCTTGACCCCCACCCCAACACTGGTTTCATTTTGTTCTGCTCTCTTTGTCACTTGCCCCTGGAGAAGTGGGCTGCTCTGGGAGCCAGCTGAAGGGCTCCTTCCCCAGATGCCTCACCCCTCAGCAAGCTTGCCCTCATCTTCAGATTTGGAAGCCCTGGAGCTTCCGAAGGAGGGAGACCGAGGGAAGGCCAGGGAGAGAAGGGTGGGTGGTTTCCCAAGAGAGTCTCTCTGGAGTGGGCATCGGGAGAAAACCTAAGCGGACGCAGGGAGGGAGTCCTTTCTTATCCTGGGAACACAGGCAAAGTCTGGTTGGTGCGGGCTTCATCCTGGCCTCCAGGAGCAGCAAAGTTAAGGGGAGTGGAAGTGCCAGAAGGCCCTGGTGCTCGCACTGAGGTCACCTGTGCTAGCTAAGGCTCTGCTTACTTGGCCCCCTGCAGCCAAGTCAGGCACCTCAGGCCTGGGGGTTTTTCGGCCTTTCCTGGGTGGAGCAGGAAGACTTCCCCCCTCCTACCGAGTGGCCACCAGCTTGGAGCCAAATTACTAGACCGTAATATTGGGTGTCTTCACATTCATTCTGGGGCACAAAAACCTCTGTGGGGACACAGGCTGCCCTTGATTCATGCACCCCACCCCCCACCCCACACCATCTTCCTTAGGCCGCCCCCCGTCCTTGGTAAGACCAGACAGTCCAGGAAAAGGGACTGAGTTCCGAAATGGAAGGCTAGGAGTGATCACCCCAGGCTGCCCAGCTCACTGCCAGGGTGGTTCTGTGGTCGAAGCAAACATAGCCTTGTGTGATAATCATGACTCCATAAGACGCTGTGGCTGGGCAGATCACAGCGATACTGCAGATGAAATGAAAGCAAGCCAGCAGAGACTTTCCCGTGAGTCCTGGTCTCTGCCTTGGCTGGACACATGGATCAACCACCGTCCAGTTTGACTGATCCCGGCATGCAGAGAGACCCTGTGGGCTCGGTCCACCTGCCTCACATCCCCAACCTGATGCTGAGGCTGGACTACCGGCCTCTTGAAACACTTGCACTCCACCACCCCCACCTCAGTTTTCAGGAAGAGCCTGCCAGCACAGGCCCTGCCCGGGCTTCTCCCCAAACCAGCATGGATCTATAATGCGCTGTGTCTGCCCTTACTGCCCAGCTCAGGTGATTCCACAGTGATTGGGGTGTAGAATGTGGCCAGGTAGGAATTCAACTCTTTTGTGTCTCCAAGAAACACAGTCATTTGAGCATTGCCAAGGCTCCTACAATGGATCCTGGTTTTCCCACCCCCTTTCCCCTACGGAAATAAATGAAGATCAAAAGTTAAGAGGAAAATGGAGGTTCCAGGGAATTCTGGAACTGGCTTCATAAGTCCTTCAGGATATACTCCCTATTTCTACACCTCCTGGGGGGATGTTTCAGGCACTGGAAAAGGCTGGGAACCCGCACTTCAAATGGCGGAAAGATGTTTCTAGCCCCCTCCACATGGAGATCTCTTAAATAGTCCCTTACTCCTCATCCCCACACCCACCTGAATTCAAAGGTGAGAGCAGGCGCCAAGGACTTGATTGTAAACCAAACCTCTGCGAGTGGAGAGAGCGACACTCAGAAGATGAGCCAATGCGTGGTGCAGGACAGTGTCTGGAGGAAGCACTGGGGTTCTCCCAGTCTGCGGAACCCCCAAGGCTGCCACATCCTGCAGGGGTGTCTGCCACTGTGCACTCCTGTCCAGCGGCCACGACCTGAAGGTGAGTCAATGGGGTGGCTCAGCTGGGGATGGGGACAACTAAGGTCAGATTCAGGTGGGGGGGGCAGGCTGTCAGAACCACAGGGAGGCATCCCCCTCCTCCCTGAGAGCCTTCCTGCCTAGCATATTTGAAATGCTTTCCCAAACTTTGAGAAGCATTCCCTGCCCGCCCTCCTTGCCTGGCCTGGGCTGCCAAGGCAGTTGAATTGTTTGCTTTCTGACATAGGCACGCGGGGAAGGGGGTAGGATGCTTCCGGGGTATCTGGAAGGCTGGCAGCCGACATCTCTCATTGGGAACAGTGTCTGGAAACACACCACTCACCTTTAACTCCGGTCAGCCTTCTGCCTCCTGCCATTCCCGCATTCCTATTCTACAGAAAGAAAGCACAAAGACCTGTCTTGGGTAGTGCTCAACTCCGGGGCCAGTCTCTTTGGGTGCTAAGGTCTTTCCA